TGGTTGCTGTCCCTGGCGGCGTGACGGCTCTCGGTGGCCCTGCTCAAATAAAGTTGTGATCTTAATGCTAACGAATTAAACATATTCTAAAACTTAGTATTTATACTCAAGTTTTGAAATTACATGCTTTCGAAAAACTAACTGAATATCAATTTTCTTTTATTGGTTACAAATATCAAACTCTACTCATAATATTAATACCTTATATAAAGACTTCACTTAAGGTATATATACCTTAAGAAATTCAAATTTTCAAAATTTAAATTATGATATTTTTGGTCAATTTGACATTGCTGATTCTGAAAAAAAGATAAAATTTAGTCAAAAAAGCCTCTAAGTTAGTCTGATTTGGCATTAAAAGGTGTGTATAATTTTCTAGTTTCCTAGCAATGTTCTTAGCAACCAGGATGATCCCTGGTTCTTGCTGATGAAATCGCCATTCCAATCAAGTTATAAACATACTTTAGAAATATTATCATGGATGTCGAGAGCCTTTACACCACCTAGAACATCAACCTTGATTGACGCCCCTATTTTCAAAACTTTTCCAATATATTATTGGTGAATGACCTTTAAGTATCTTATTTTTATTTGGCGCTCCTTAAACATCAGTTGTCCGAGAGAAATCCTCCTTTTCACCTCTCTCTCGGCACCCCTGACAATTTTAATTGTGCTATTAGAGCTAATTTTTAGGTTTTAATTGTTTAAACTAATTTTCATTCTTTTAATGAGTTTTTCTTAGTTTTGCATTTTTCGTAACCTTGATCCAAAATTTTTAATTTGTTTTGTCAAATTTATTGCAATTTTTAGGATTCATTCGTTACATAGAAGTTACATAGAAGTTACATCGTAGTTACATCATAGTTACATAAGTTATATAAAAGACGTTACATAGAGGTTGTATAGAAGTTGCATAGATGTTACATAGATGTTACAAAGAAGTTATATATAAGTTACATAGAAGTTATATAGAAGTTACATAGAAGTTATATAGAAGTTATATAGAAATTGCATAGAAGTTATATAGAAGTTATATAGAAGTTACATAGAAGTTATATAGAAGTTACATAAAAGTTGCATAGAAGTTAGATTGAAGTTACAAAAAGATGTTCTGAACTAAAAAAAAACTTTTTTTACTTCTTTAATTATACATTTTAATAAATTATGTATTTATTACCCAAACTATTATAAATTACCCAAACTATTATAACTAACCAAATCAAGTCTTTACTTTTAATTTATTAATTATTTTTTAGTTCATATATGCATTGCACCATTAATAATTAGTTTATCAAGTTTGATGTAAATAACTTTTTGCAATCAAAAGATATCTTGAAACCAAAACTTAATTAGAGTATTACTCTAATTGTTTTTAATTATAATCATTATTTTTTTTTGGTTTTGTAATTATATTTTTTTTACTAAAAATCGGGAAGACATTATAAAGAACAAACGTTTTATGTAATAATTTTTTTCAGGTATACTGCCTTAATATATCTTCATTCAATCAATGGTATATCATCGCGAGGATCTCGTCGATGAAATTTAGTTATTGATATGTAAAAAATATTACAATTTTTATTTAATAATTTTTTTTAAAATAACTACTAAACAGAGTTTACTAAACTTAACTGACTCGAACTTTTAAGGGTTTGTTAAAAAAATTTACCAAGCTGTCATATCTTCCCTAGTTGGGGTAAATTGAGCAGTGGTTAGCGAAACTTAAACAATAAATAAACTAATGCATATGCATGATTATTTTATTTTCTGTACCTCTTCAGCAAGAGTACTAAATGAATGATATTAGAGCTTAATATGTTTGTTTGACGAAATAAAGTAAAAAATAACTACATAATGTTTACTACTAAAAGCTTCATTCGTTAGCAACCATTATGTAAAAAATACATGATGCTATTTTGTTAAAAACATTTTTCAATTTTTCAATTTTTTGGTATTTCTTTGAGTTTGTTTCAAGCAAAAACTTGTTTTCATGACGACACTGACATTATTTCAGAAATATATATATATATATATATATATATATATATATATATATATATATATATATATATATATATATATATATATATATATATATATATATATATATATATATATAAATATATATATATATATATATATATATATATATATATATATATATATATATATATATATATATATATATATATATATATATATATATATATATAGAGAGAGAGAGAGAGAGAGAGAGAGAGAGAGAGAGAGAGAAAGAGAGAGAGAGATGTCTTTAAAATGTCTTTAACGAAGTTGTTACTTTATACTCAATAGTTCCGTTTCAACTCACTTAATTCCAATAAATGGAACATATATAAGTAACATAGTTTGCCCAACGTATTCCTCTCCTCTACCCAAAATTTTTTCTAAAAAATGTTTTTATGTATTCTCAAAAACCTATAAAACTTACAAATACAAACTTTGTTTGGATTGCCACAAAAAAATTTTTCGGCGGCTATAGTTTGAAATTGAAAGTTAAAAAAAAAATGTTAAAGCATTGGTTAGGTAGATTTTTTTTAAGTTTTAGATGGAAAAAATAGTTATGGATTTTAATATCTGAGGATGTGATTAATAAATAATAATTAAGACTACAGGGAATAGATTTTGTCTATAATCGTGGTGAAAGTTTTAAAACATCAAAAATAAAAATATTAAAACATAATATACTGCTAAAAATAAATATATAAAGCTCTGCAATCAAATCATTCCGCTGTGGTATGGCTGTTTTAATAAATTTTAACAAGAAAAAAAGGTTGCGCTGTTTATGATGCTTTTAAAAGTTTTTTTTCTAATTATAAACTATTATCAGGGTTTAAACTATTCAATATATATATTTAAGGATTTTGTTTTTAACTTCCGCCATTGTATGATTGTAGTAAATGCAACATCAGTAAAGAATGGGTTATGTAAATTTGCGAAATAAAAGATATTGAAACCATTAAATTTGTTTAATGAAGTACAGAGAGTTTTCAGTCCCTATGTTTCTCACTAGAAAGTTTTGTTGAGTTTCTCTATGCAAGCTTTTAAACTAAATTTTTTAACGTTTTAGCACCACTTTTTTGAAAAATGGCTAAACAATTTATACTTTTTTTCTGAAAAACATATTTTACAGGCAAATATTTGAGTTAAAGTTTGTCAAGAAGATACTTATTTTTTGCATACATCACAGATAGTGTTTGTAGTGTTTTGGTATGCTTTTAGGCTGCCTCAAAAAGTGTGCTAACTGGGTAGGTTGCTTGCAAAAGCGGTTAGCCGATGCCTAACTACTGTATTACATATTTTAAAGTTATTGGTTTGCCACTTATGGTCCTCTAAGTAACAGAACCGTTCAATGAACCGTTCAAAATGCACGAATAGGTCCACTGTAAATCTGTTATAAGTATGTTTGAAGGGTATACTCCATTATACAAAATGTAATCTAAAACATATTGTTAACTTCCACTACAAAGAAACGCAATTTTAGAAAAAAGAGTAATCGCAATAGAAGTTTATAATTATATCTTTACTGTTAAACAGTTAACCATTCAAACAATTGTCTAATATCTAATTTTAATGTCCTATTTAGTTTTTTTTTTCCTTTCTTTTTTTTCTTCTTGTTTTTCATTACAATCTTGATACAAATGAATTCGAAATAATAATTTAAAATGCTTTAAATTATTATTTCAAATTCATTATATATATATATATATATATATATATATATATATATATATATATATATATATATATATATATATATATATATATATATATATATATATATATATATATATATATATATATATTGGCCGCGTTTTCATCAAGAGGCCTTATTTTTTTTAATGAATTTTAATTCATTTTTTTTTTCAAATTAAAGGCGCAGTATTAAATAAGATTTTGACTTTGTTCTCCACCAAATATAATAAACAAGAGCATAAAAGGTTGTGAGACGTTAAAGCGAAAAATTTAATAGCAAAAGAACTTAAAAGTGAATGGTCAGGAAATCAAAACCGGGAAATCAAATATCATGAAAATTTAAAGGTCGTTAGTGCTAATTAATAAGTTTACAATTTTCTTGAAATCGCAGACCTAAAAACTTTTTACGCATGCGTATTTTCACCTAATCTAAACTATATTTATATAATCTATAATATACGAAAGATTGTGCACCCGTGGCACAGTGGTTAAAGCCATGAGGTTAGTGATTTAAAGCCGGCTCTAGCTCACCAAGCAACATTGGTAAGGAAGGAGGCGTGAGCTTTTTAGTTAAATGCTCTTCCAAGGTGCTCTACGATAAGATCGTAAAGACTTTTGGAAGCACCTTAATAACCACAAAAAAGTAACACATTACTACAAATAAGTTTTTCAATTAAGTTTATAGGCACTGGAAGAAAAAGAGTACGTGCTATTTTTCAAGAAAACATTTATAGTAGAGTCATTTTGCGTAATGGTAAAAAAATTTTAAGTTTTTAGTTTAATTTTTTTATTTTTGTAGACACCAAGATGCTTCAACTTTTTCCTTACTAATGTCGCTTATGAGCCGACATCACAGACAACATCTCAACAATAAATAGCACAGACAAAAAATATCCGACAAAATCAATGAAGAAGTTTAGGACATTCTTTCATAATCTTACTTCAAAGTCTCTCTCTTACCTCTTTATTGCAAATATAATATATATACATACATCCATACATCCATCCATCCATCCATCCATCCATCCATACATACATACATACATACATACATACATACATACATACATACATACATACATACATACATACATACATACATACATACATACATACATACATACATACATACATACATACATACATACATACATACATACATACATACATACATACATACATACATACATGCATACATATATACATTGATTATAATATGTGTGAATATAGCTTTATTTATATATACTATATTTAAAAAAAAATTTTATGGTAACTTTTTTTTCTAG